AAGCAGTGTAGGCCCTGGGTAGTACTTGAATGGGAGACTACCAAGGAAGGCCAAAGTCTCTACACAGAGGCAGACAACAGCAAAAACCTCTGAAAATCTCTTGCCTTGAAAACCCTATGGGGTCACCGTAAGTCGGCTGCAACTTGATGGCACCTTCCACCCCCAAATATTGCAAATGGATTTCTTCTTGGGCACGAGGACTTACTCATTGTACATTTTATGAAGCAGGGATCTTGTTCCTGAAAAGTCATGCCAGAATGATGTATGGGCACACACCACAGATAACCAGACACACTATTTATTCATTATTTATTTATTTATTGCCTGCCTTTCTCACTGAGACTCCAAGCAGATTGCACTAATTAAAACAGCAATAACAGCAGTACATAAATTAAAAACAGCACACTCAAAATAGTACCATGTATATACAAGTGCCACAAAACGATTTCAAAGTCAGAGAAATGGTTCAACAGTGTGCATACAAACAATTTTTTAAATGCCTATATGGATAAAGGATAGCTCCTACACCCAGACAGGTAAAAGTTTAGAACAGACAAAGATTGTAGATATGGAAGCTTTTGTGTTCCATAAAACTCCTGGTTAGGCTGCCTGTTGAGTACAAAAAAAAAAAAGGGAAGGGAAGGGAAAGAAAGACATTTCAGGGCACATCCTTGTGATATGTTGCTTGGTCCTTATAAAAAAGACATTACGAAACTTTTTTTTATTTGAAAGCCATTCTGAACATAAAAAAATCCCTATCAACCCACCACTGCATTTTTTTAAAAAAATCAAAACAGGCAGTATTGAAATATTATGTGTCATCTCTGACTACACCACTTCTTTTTGTAAAAATCCTGTCCTCCTTAGTGCTCTCTGTGGCAACCAGTAGTTGGAATAACAACTTTTAAGATTGATGTAAAACATGTACCTGTTATTTAAGTCACATTTTTCTGTACGGGAATATATGGAATAATCAATTACTACAGACAAGAAGAAACTACTTGCTCCTTTCCTGGTTTAGTGGGCAGAAGTTTGAGAAGGGAAATTTTGATGAAAGGATAAAACGTGTGGGTTGAACATTTTTGTAACGAACTGATCTATTTGTTTTCTTTTATTTTATCAGATATTAATTTGGTACTGCTTTGTCTGGGAACTGTTAAAGAGGATTTCTTTTCCAGCAGACCAGAGATAAAATCATCAGATTTGCAGTGTTTCAGGAGAATATTTCGTAATGCATACTGTGACTGCTTCGTTTTTGGTACTGGAAGCTGTATTTTCCCACATCAGATTAGATGGTACCCCTGGATGCTGTCTCCATCTTTAGCCTTTGGTATACATCACTAGTTGAAATTATGTGTTTTGTTATATGTATTCCAAAACGTATTAATTCAAGGTTCCCATGGGCACCCACCCTTAATGCCCACAGATGGGACCATTGCAATACAACTGTGACTATTGAGCTTACTTAGGAGCCTTTGATGAGGAACTTTTATCAACAGCTTTCTGGAAGTGTCCTGGCCTCACTGGTGGAGATCCTGACGGCACCTGGTATTTTTGGCCACTGTGTGACAAAGTGTTGGACTGGATGGGCCATGGGCCTGATCCAACATTAACTTCTCTTATGTTCTTAGGAGGGAGGTATTCCCTTCAGTTTCATTTCCTATGGCAGCTATATTGAGTTTGACTCCAGCTCCTGGGGCAACCATTTTGGAGTGGCATTCACCACTCAAAAAGTTTGGGGAACCCGTATTAGTTTATCTACAAAGTCACTCAGCTCTTTTAAAATTTATATTCCCCCTTTCTTACAAAAAAGGGGCACATATGCCTTGACCCCCTGCTTCTAGCATGTTGTACAGGAAAATTAGGGATACAGAACACTGAAAATTGGACTCATTCTGTTATACAGCTTCTGTAATATTTGAACGAAGGCATTTCCAAAACACTTAGGCTCGATCCAGCCAGCTTCGTTCTCGGTCTTCCCCAATTCTCCTCCTTACTACAGTGCCTAGGCGTTTGTCTGTGCAGGTCTCATAATTCCCAGCACAGCCATTTCTGGTGGTCAAAGGGGTCCCTTCCTGCCCTTTTCACCAGCAGGCTGTGGATCCTAACCACTCTCTAACCCTGTCTTGAGAAAGATTGTCAGGCTCTCTCAGAATAACAAAATTAAAAGACTGCCTGATCTGATTGGCAGAAATCACTGGTAAGGGCCATTAAGTATTTGTTGCATGCTCTTGGTTCTTCAAATGTGGAAGACCCAAAAAGTAGAAAAGCACTAATGAATCTGGAGATGTCCCAGTGACCCTCAGCAGTCACTGATGGGGAAAGGCCTGCAGTACTGATGGCCCTGGGGATCCAGTGGAAGGTCCACACTGCCTGGAGACCCCAGTCCAGTGGCCAAGTCGAGTGCCTCAAACAGTACGAGGGAGTTATGATACAGCCAAAAAAAAGTGGACTGGGAGGACCCCTCTGCATCACCAAACACAGCTCATGGCTCCTTGAAGGCCTGCCGCACCTTGAGAAGTCCAAGCCCGTGAAATAACAGGGAATGCCTTATTTCAGAACCACAGGAGGCACATCTCAATCACCTTCATCCACCCCTGTGTGGCAAAGACACAGAAGGAAAAACAGAAGTGTAATGTTGGTTTCTTCTGCTTAAAGTGATGGCTCCACATTCAAATGACTTCCTGCTTTTTCCCCCTAGAGCACGGATCAGTTATCACATTCTGGTATTAAAACGGAAACGGGGGAATCCAGGCAGGATGGCCAATAACTGAAGGACTCAAGAGTGAGACTGGGTTGTTTGATACAGCCAGGCAGGGCCGTCTGTACCAGGAAGATAAGGCAGAGGATCGGACAGGGCGAGACTTGAGATGAAGAATACAGGAAGGAACTGGAAACTCTTTCACACAAGACTGTCCATTGCACATAGATGAGATAACCTGGACTCCAATGCTCTCGTAAAGGATTCAAGGGAAATCTGCCCTATTCAAGGGAATTTCCCAAGGATGAAAGCGAACAGTGTCTGAGCGTAGAAGAAAGACAGAGGAAGAGGTGAGGAACTGAATCTGGGTTGCTAGGTTCAACTAAAACTGTCCAATTTAATTTACAGAGAACAAGGATTCCATTCCTGTCCGCACCATCTTACCTTCATTCCTGTACATCGCTTAGTTCTTTCAGCTCTTGATTCCATTCAAGCAAATTTATGGTGTTTTGAGCTGACAGTGGGTGCTCCAAAAAGTTATTTTTGGCAATTAGTCATGGCCCATTCTCAAAGGCTGTGTGCTGTAGTTAGCATAAAACGAACACACACTTGTAAATCTATAGGTATCTGTTGCCTAGTCATCGGGCATCTAGCAGCCAGGGCTAGATTTAAGACATGCTGAGACCTCATAATAGAGACAGCCTGGCATAGTAGTTAAAAGTGCCACAATTGGGTTTGAATTCCTGCTCTACCATGAGTGATCTTGGGCCCCCCGAGGTCTCTCAGCCTAGCCTGCCTCACAAGGTTGTTGTGATAAGGTGGAAGAGGAGGAATGATGTCGTAAGCCACTTTGATTTCTGTTTAGGGGGAAAGTGGGATATAGGTTTTTTTGAATTACGAAAACATGGTAATGTAGTATTTTTTTTTTTAAATTTAGAGGCTCCTCATAATCTGAAGCTCTAAATCTGTGCATAAATCCAACTGGGCCAGAAGCAGGAACAAAGGCCACTACTGGAACAATTCTAATGGGTTCCAAATAAGTAAATCCTATATACTGTAGGAATCTTGTGGAAAGGGAAGGCTTTGCCCATGCCTTTAGAAACAGAGGTGCCTAGAATCATATTCAGGAGCCTACAGTTCAATGTTATGGTACCCTAAATTCTTAAAGTTTAGAATGCCCACAGAAGAGCATAACTTTTCACTCCAAATAGATTAATCTAACAAAACTAGCACCCTCTGGTTCCATACAAATCATTAGCTTGGGTTAGAATTACCCAGTTTTAAACCTCTCTAACATCCAAACTTCACCAACTGTGAGAAAAAAACACGGTTGCTAAGAATCCAAATCTTTAAGAAGTTCCTGATGATGAATCTATATATGCAGGGGCGTATATTCAAGATCACATACTATGGATCAGTGATCCTCTGGCAACCCTCCATTAGAGGCAGGCAAGGAATCAAAACGTTTTTGGCAAAGCTCAAGAGGGAAGGCAGCCTGCCGCAAGAAGAAAACTCCACTGTGGGGAGCCGGGTGGCTTCTGCATCCCACTCTAAGAATTCACAGGCAAGCCTAGAGGCAGGAAGGGTTTGCCCTTTACTGCGGGATTTCCCACCTTTCACTGCTGATTCCCCCACGCACCTGAACAGCCCGCTTAGCAGTTAGGGTGGGATGAAAAACCCCACAATAAAATAGAAGAACACGGGTTTCCAGGCTGGAAACGTTCCACAACAGAAATCCGGGGTGTAACATCCCACCTGGCACCCCACTCTCTCCAGCCCCAACTTCGACGCCCATCGGGGCACGCAGGTGAACAACCCTCAGGCCCCAATCACTGTTTTAAAACCACTTTAAAAGGTAGCGGTGGTGGGCGTGTGGGGGAGAAGGCGCTCTTCCCCACCCTGGTCGGTCGAATGCCACATCTGGCGGCACCGCTGGTCTGCCCAGAAAGGGGTTCTTGGGCCGCGGCTGAGTTACCACGGAGCAGGAGCACCCAGGAGGGAGAGGGCGTGCGTGCGTGCCTCGCGTGTAGGTGGCGAGAGCGAACAAAGGAAAGGGTGACAAGGACGAGAGCGACCGCCCGCGGGAGCTCCCTCCCGAAGGGCCGCTGCGTGGGCTCGGGTTCTGGAGCGCGCCACCTCCCCGGGAGAACCCTCCGCCCAGAAGGCTTCCCTGGCCAAGGGCAGGGGCGCCCCCCGCCCGCCCGCCCGCCCGCCCGGCGCCTGTGAACGCGTGGGCACAACTCCTCGCCAGGGCTTGGAGCCAGCCCCCGTCCCCCTCCCTCCCCGCGGGTCCCTCCCTCCTTCCCCGCCTGCCTCCTTCTCTCCCTGCCTTCCTCGTCACCGACTCGAGCCATCTATAAATCCCCTTTTCTGGCATAGCCCCGCCGTGGGAGAGGAAGCCCCTGTGCTCGTGGCGCCCGGGACCAGAGGAGCCGCCGCCGCCGATTACGCCGCTCTCGCCTCGCCGCCAGCTCCGGGGGAAAGGCGCTCGTGGTCCCAGCACCCCCCAGCCACCCCGCGCCCGGCCGGCGTCTGCCTCTCGCTCGTCCCCCCCTCTCCCCACCCTTTGTCTCTGTTGCCGCCTTCCTCTCGCCGCCGCCGCCCCAGGATGTCGGAGAAGTCCGCCGAGGAGGCTCCGGTGGAGCTGGGGGCCAAGGTGAGACGCTCGGCGCCAGAGCCCAAGAGGAGCGCGCCGCCGCCGCCGCCCTTTGCATCCCCCCACCCACCGCGCCTCCCCGCTCGGTCCTGTGCAAAGGAGTGCAAAGCGCACGGAGGTCGCCGCCGGGGAAGCCGCCGCTCCGGAGGGGCGAGGCCAGTGGCTGGCTGGTGCCCGCCTCGCTT